AGCAAGAGATGGAGGGTGAAAAGTAAGGGATCAGAATACAGCTTCAAACCACAAGAAGGAACTTACATCGAGTGGTGTCACTCTCTCTGCCATCATCAAGTGTTCTTATGTTCTAACAGAAGTGCTCCCATTTTCCGGTCTCAGTGATCAAGCAAGCAACCTAAATGTCCACCATGGATGAGTAGATAAGGGAAATGTAGTATATACTACACACAGTGGAATGTTATTCAGCCCCGTAGAACTTCCTGTGATGATAAAAACATTCTACATCTGTGCTGTCCGATATGATAGCCACTAGGGACTTACGGTCATTGGCCATTGGAGTGCTACTACTCTAACTAAACAACTGCGTTTTTATTTTAGTTAACTTTAATTAAGTAGCCCCATGTGGCTTGTGGCTTTCAGCTGGGTCAGCACAGTTTGGGGTATTAAAAAATAATAGCAAGTGTTCCCACTCTTTTCTTCATCAGGTCAAATATTTTTAGTTCCTTTAAACATCATCCGTATGTGATCATCTGAGTCCTTCACCTTCCAGTTCTGTCCTCGGAATTCATTCTAATTTTCCATATTCCTGTGAACATGTGGCATCAGAACTGAACCCCTCTGCAATTACCCCAAATATAAATACCATATTCTGAGTAACAGGGGAATAAATAGCAGCATCTCTGGGACTGGCACTGTATCTTATTTATTCTTGTTTCCCACTGCCCAGCCCAGAAGGTAGCCTATTAATAATTGATGAGTGGATGAATACATTTTCTCAGTAGGGTGGAATGCAGTGGAACTCTCACTTTTCATGTCCTTCGTTCCGGAAATGAATTTCCATGAATGAAATCTACAAACACATTCTTTTTTAAAATTTAATTCGTTAGTGTCAACGAAAGCCCTCATGTCATCTCTGCTCTGTACTTAGGCTATCATGTCATCTCTGCTCTGTACTTGGGCTATCAGATTTTGAGTATCCAAAAGTAAGCCTTTACAGGTAACTCTAAATAACTCTGTCTTTGATGATGAAGACCTTGGAAAACTCCAGTTTATACCACCACCCCAAGTCTCGGGGGGCCTCTGTACCAACTGGAAATGGTGCCTCCTCTTTCCGGGCTCGCGACGTAGCAGAGGACAGCGGTCCCTCTGGGAGGAAGCCGCCTGTAGGTTTGCCAAGTGGACCCCGTGTGTGTGAAAAGAGAACGTCATCCCTACATTGAATGACATCAGGTTCCAAGGCGCTCAGCTTGGTGGTGGGAGCAGAGGCCAGATCCCAATGTCCTACCAGTGCCTGCTGCTCCGATCCCTGTGCTAGTCCACCTGGTTGTATCACTCGTTACTCTGACAACTGAATCGTCTATAACAGCACTTCTCAAACTGCCTGAGAGGAATGACCAGTGTTCTTTAAATGTTCCAATGAGCCTCGGACCAATACTTTTTTAAAAAATATATTTTGTTGATTTTTTACAGAGAGGAAGGGAGAGGGATAGTTAGAAACATCGATGAGAGAGAAACATCAATCAGCTGCCTCTTGCACACCTCCTACTGGGGATGTGCCCGCAACCAAGGTACATGCCCTTGGCCGGAATCGAACCTGGGACCTTTCAGTCTGCAGGCTGATGCTCTATCCACTGAGCCAAACTGGTTAGGGCCTGACCAATACTTTTGTCATATACAATTAAAATAGATTATTAAGAAAAGAAAATTAAAATGGAAAAAATACAAGACCAAATTTAATGTTTAGATTAATCGGACATAAAATTATATTTTAATAAATACAATCAAAACAAAATAAGAAAAATAAAAGAATTCTAAAAACTAGACATGTTCTTTTGAGGGGGGAGGCAATTACTAGATAAACTTGCAGTTGCTCTCAGTTTTTGCTGTTCAGCAGTTGAAATTGTGGGGCAGTTCATCTGGGCCACACATTCTTTGATGTCTCTCCCATTGGGAGATGGGATTATGTCCCTCCCCTTGACTCTGAGAAGGCTGTGGCCATGGTGACCACCAGAACCTGGTGGAAGTGACGCTGCACCAGTTTCTAGGCCTGAACCTCAAGAGACAGGAAAGTCCTACTTCCTGTGTCATGGAACACTCCCTCTCGGACCCTGAACCAGCACATAGGAAGTCCAGCTACTTTGCCGCCGAGACCCCAGAGAGAACTCGAGTCTCTAGGGCTCAGCCCAGTGTTCCATCCCTCGTCTCCAAGGCATCGGGCATGTGAGTGAACGTGTCTTGGACCCTCCAGACCAGAGCACCCACCAGCTGAATCGCACCCTGTGATCCCAGTCAGTGCAGGTAAAGCAGAATTACCCAGCAAGCCAGGCCTGAATTCCTAACATAGAAGGTCATGAGATGTAGTAAAATGCTTGTTGCGTTTAAGCCCCTAAGTGTTGGGAGCAGTTTGTTATATAGTGATAGATAACCAAAATAAGAACAAAGCAAAAGATTTCAAGTTTTAATATGACAAATGAGCCTTCTCCACGGTTATACATATGACCCAGATTGGATTGACAACTGTACTCATTGGGCATAATGTATCGTTAAAGTGATTCTAGTTTGGCATAAGTAACATTCAGAGCAGAGAAACCAATCCACAAAGGTAAATTTTTAGGAATGGAAGAAAAGCTCTTTCAATAATTTTAATAAATTCCTAATATTCCTTTAAGTTATATCCCAAATGAAACTATATTTTCAAACCTTCATCAGAAGTCAGTTACAAAAATGTATCCTACAAAGTTAATGTTCATGATATGCTACATCCATGATTAATTTACATAAGATTGTGACTCCTGCTAGCAGATGCTTTTCCTTGCTGGGTTGTTTTATATATATATATATGTTTTTATTGATTTCAGAGAGGAAGGGAGAGGAAGAGAGAGATAGAAACATCGATAGTGAGAAAGAATCATCGATTGGCTGCCTCCTGCATGTCCCCCACTGGGGATCGAACCTTGACCTCTGAGGGTCATGGGTCAACACTCAACCACCAAGCCACACTGGCCAGCTGGGCTTCCTTGCTGGTTTTGATAAAGCCAGTTGCCACATTGGGAGGTCCACAAGGCAAGAAGTGAAGGGCAGCCTCTGGCCAGGAGCCAGATAAGAACTAAGGCCCTTGTCCAACACGCAAAAGGCACTGAACCCCTACCCTCCCAACAACTGTGTACCTGAGCTCAGAAATAGACCCTTTCCTAGTCCAGCCTGCAGATGGGAGCCTAGCGCTGGCCACAGTGTGACTGCAGTCTTGTGAGAGACCCTAAAGCAGAGTCCAGCTAAGCCAGTCCTGATTCCAGACCCACAGACACTGGGAGGAAACAGATGTGTGGATTTAGGCTGCTAAGTTTGTGATCCTTGTTACGCAGCAAGAGATAACTAATATAGATTTTGGTACCTGGAAGTGGGTGCTGCTGTAACATATACTAGTAACTAAAATGTGGGAGTGGATTTGGAACCAGGCAGAAAGCAGAAGCTGGAGGGATTTTGAGCAAAATGATAGAAAAAGCCAAAAACAGACTGGTTAGCGGAAATCTGGACTTTGAGGGTGATGCCAGTGAGAGCTCAAAGGGAATTATTATTGTAAACTAGAGGAAGGGAATCCTTTTATGTAGTGCCAGAATGCTTAGCAAAATTGTCATGTGCAGTTACATAAAAAGCAGAATATGTAGCAGATGAACTTGGTTATCTAGGTAGAGATTTCCAAGAACAGGGTTGAAGAGATCACCTGGTCTCTTCTTGCTGCTGAAGATGTAAGATATGTGAAAAGAAACAGAAGTTGAGAGGAGGTTGTTATTAAAACACCCTTTAATTCTGTCTCCCACTGGCTCTGTAAACTTCATTCAGTGGGGGAAACCCTGTCCTACCACCGGTGAAAACTTGCCTTGACTTTCTAGCTCATTCTTAGGGAGAAGAAGTCTTATGATCACATTAAACCACAAACACAGTCCAGTGTCAAAAATCAGCTGGCTCCGTCCCAGACGTTAAGCAAAGCCTTCATTCTGGTAACAACAGACTTTCCCCGACCTTTGCCCTGCCTCCTCTGCCTGCCTTCCAGGAAGAGTGTGGGTAGTCTCTGCTCTCTGTCCATCTACACTCACCGCCTCTCCACCCACTGGTGCTGCTTCGGACCCACCTTCCCTCCCCTCATACACATGTATGAGTGTGGTAGGGGGCAAAGCAGCCAACAATGCTTGCTCGGCCGGCCAGTGGCTTCTTCCCTTCCTCTGGCAAATAATAAACGGGGCTTTCCCTGGAGCTCTTGAAGATTCCCACTTCTTTGGAGGCTCCCACCCCCACTTCCACCCCCCCACCCCTCTCTCCTGCAGTTTCCTTGGCTCAGGCCAACACACTCTCTCCTGGGGGCCCTTGGAACTTCTTCCTCAGCCCCTGGGAACCCAGAGGTGGAGTTAGGTGGATTTGGCACATGAGTTATGCAATTTAAAGCCTTAAGGCCCATCGCTTGCACAGAGCATTGAAGTTTATTAAATAACTTTTGACAACTCTAGAGATTCTAGTATAATTTTTCTTCATTGCTTTATCAATAGGGTGAACTACATGAAGAGATTTTGTATCATTAGGTGGAATTAACCCATAATTTTGTATTTTTTAATTAAACTAGTGATTTGTCTGTCATTGATTGTTTCAAAGAACCAGTGCCTGGGTTTATTTATTTTTTTAATATATTTTATTGATTTTTTTACAGAGAGGAAGGGAGAGGGCTAGAGAGTTAGAAACATCGATGAGAAAGAAATATTGATCAGCTGCCTCCTGCACACCTCCTACTGGGGATGTGCCCGCAACCAAGGTACATGACCTTGACCGGAATAGAACCTGGGACCCTTCAGTCCGCAGGCCGATGCTTTATTCACCAAGCCAAACGGGTTAGGGCTGGGTTTATTTTTTTTAATGTGATCGGTTTTTTGTTTTCTGGTTCACTTATTTCTGATTTTATCTTTTTAGTTTCACCCTTCTGCTTTATTATTAATTATTATTATGATGATGATGATGATGATGATTGTCAAAAGAGAGTGAGAACGCAGTCCCCGGCTACCACAAATGGTGCTATCGAGTGTCCCACATTTGGGAAAATTGCAGGGGTCAGCAATCGGGAGTGCAAGGGGTAAGCCTCCACCTGGGAAAGCCACCTTCGTGGTATCTCCCCTGCCAGGTGTAAGTATGTTGGTCTGTTTTTTTAACTTCTTGAATAGAATACTCACTTATTTAATTTTATTCTTTCATATTTAATAATGAAAGTGTTAACTTTCTATTTTCTGGAATTATGGGGGCTCTCTTTGTGCCTTAAAATGTACACTTTTTGAGTGATTGTTTTATAGTGTCTGCATAAAAGTATAGAGGATTTGTTATAAATATGCAATGTGCCAATCTATCATATGTAAAATGGATCTATCTTATTAATTGTTAATATTTTAGTTTTTTTCTTTTTGTAAATATATTTCAATTAAATTTATTTGGTGACATCAGTTCATAAAATTTTATAGGTTTCAAGTGTCCAATACTATAATACATCATCTGTAATGTTTTTACTTTTATTTTGAAAAAAATCAAAACTGCAGAAAATTTGCAAGAATAGTATCAGTGAACTCCCATGTACTCTTCACCAACTACTAACACTTTGCTGTTTTACTTTTGTGTGTTTTATGTGAACCATTTGAGAGTAAGTTGCAGTTATAATGACCTTTCACTCCTTGGTTTTTTCAGCATGTGCCTCTGAAGAACAAGAACCATCTCTTATATACCCAGAGAGCAAATATTAAATTCAGAAAATTGAATATTGATACAGTGTTGTTATATAATATCAAATATATCTAATATTATCTTTATTCACATTTAATCAATTATCCCAATACTGTCCTTCAAAGCAATATCTTTTTAAATCTAGAATCCAATGCAGTAATATCCTTATTTTGTATTCTCCATAATCCTTAGGATTGAGAGAGATTTGGCAGAGCTATTGTAGGTCATTGTGTTTTGTGCATTTCCCCTATTATTTTTTGCAGGCCTTGCTCTGTATACTTTGATTAAGATCAACATAGAAGTATGGAGAGGAGACATTAGGGCACTGCTTTTTGTAATCAGAAATAATCCACAAGAAGGTCTCTCTTGCCACAAGGACACTCTTAGGGATGAGATCAGTCCTACAGCTGATTTCTTCTAGGGTTGCATGGTGAGCAAGCAGGTTTGGGTCCTTGACTAGAACAGGGGGACTCCATTTGAAGCCAAGGAGATCCTTGGATCTGAAACTTCATTTCTGTAGCAAAAAAGACTTCTGGAGGTCTTCTGGGGGTAAACTTTTGTTAAGATATATTCTGCCTAATATGGATAATAAGGGTGATTTGAAAAGATTAAAAAGTAAATTAAAACAGGATAAATTAAACAGAAACAAATGTACCTAATTGTATTTCAAATAAATAACAGCCACATCGGAGAAAAAAATTTTTTAAAAAAACACACTCTGTACAGTACTCTGTACACAGAATACAGTATTCTGTTTACTCTCGGTCTAAAACCAAAAGAACTGTAAATAAATATTGAACTCTAATTGGGATGTTTGATTCTCTCAGCGGTATATATTTACAATAGTGAAGCTTTTTCTGTACTATATAGCATTGTGCAAATGAGCAAGTCATGGGAGCCAGGTTTCCCACTGCTGGGGAAGGGAGTTAGAAATAATAAACTCATGGTGTCAGAATGGAACAGGAGGTTTCAGGATGAACTTGTAGTGTTTAAGATAGATAAATGGATGGATAAAGAGAATAAAAAGGAAAGAAGTACAGAAGAATGGAGGGAGTAAGAGAAGTAAAGAGATGGAGGGAGTGAGAGAGAAAGAAAAGGAAAAAGAAACTAAAAACAACAATCCCATTTACCATTGCAACAAAAGAATTAAGATACCTAGGAATAAACTTAACCAAGGAGGTAAAGCACCTGTACTCAGAAAACTACAGGACATTGAAAAAAGAGATAGAGGGAGACATAAACAAATGGAAGAATATACCATGTTCATGGATTGATAGAATCAACATCATTAAAATGTCCATACTACACAAAGCAATCTACAGATTCAATGCAATCCTCATTAAAATACCAATGGCATATTTCAAAGTCCTAGAACAAACTCTCCAAAAATTCGTCTGGCATAAAAAAAAAGACCCCAAATAGCTGCAGCAATCTTGAGAAAGAAGAACAATGTTGGAGGGATCACAATATCAGATATCAAACTATATTACAAAGCCACTGTTCTCAAAACTGCCTGGTACTGGCACAAGAACAGACATAAAGACCAATGGAACAGAACAGAGAACCCAGAGATCGACCAAAGCCATTATGCTCACTTAATATTTGACAAAGGAGGCAAGAACATACAATGGAGTCAAGACCGTCTCTTCAATAAATGGTGTTGGGAATATTGGACAGATACATGCAAAAAAATGAAACCAGACCAACAACTTTCACCATACACAAAAATAAACTCAAAATGGATAAAGGATTTAAACATAAGGTGGGAAACCATAAAAATCTTAGAAGAATCCATAGGCAGCAAAATAGCAGACATATGTCGTAGCAATAACTTACCGATATAGCTCCAAGGGCAATTGAAACTAAGGAGAAAAGAAACATATGGGACTACATTAAAATAAAAAGCATCTGCACAGCAAAAGAAACCATCAACAAAATAACAAGAAAACCCACTGCATGGGAGAACATATTTACCAATGTTATCTCCGATAAGGGTTTAATCTCCAAAATTTACAGGGAATTCATACAACTCTTAACAAAAGGAAGATAAACAATTCAATCAAAAAATGGGCAAAGGACCTAAATAGATACTTTTCGAAAGAGGACATACAGAAGGCCAAGGGATATATGAAAACATGCTCAAAGTCACTCATTATACGAGAGATGCAAATCAAAACGACAATGAGGTACCGTCTCACACCTGTCAGAATGGCTATCATCAACAAATCAACAAACAACAAGTGCTGGTGAGGATGTGGAGAAAAAGGAACCCTCGTGCACTGCTGGTGGGAATGCAGACTGGTGCAGTCACTGTGGAAAACAGTGTGGAGTTTCCTCAAAAAATTAAAAATGGAACTTCCATTTGACCCAGTAATCCCACTTCTAGGAATATATCCCAAGAAAACAGAAACACCAATCAGAAAGGATATATGCACCCCTATGTTCATAGGAGCACAATTTACCATAGCTAAGAATTGGAAACAGCCTAAGTGCCCATCAGCTGATGAGTGGATTAGAAAACTGGGATACATCTACACAATGGAATACTATGCTGCTATAAAAAAGAAGGAATTCTTACCATTTGCAACAGCATGAATGGAACTGGAGAGCATTATGCTAAGGCAGCGGTTCTCAACCTGTGGGTCGCAACCCCTTTGGGGGTCGAACGACCCTTTCACAGGGGTCGCCTAAGACCATCGGAAAACACATATATAATTACATATTGTTTTGTGATTAATCACTATGCTTTAATTATGTTCAATTTGTAACAATGAAAATACATCCTGCATATCAGATATTTACATTACGATTTATAACAGTAGCAAAATTACAGTTATGAAGTAGCAACGAAAATAATTTTATGGTTGGGTCACAACATGAGGAACTGTATTTAAAGGGCCAGAAGGTTGAGAACCACTGTGCTAAGTGAAATAAGCCATTTGGAGAAAGATAAATATCACATGATCTCACTCATTTGTGGGATATAATGAACAACATAAACTGATGAACAAAAATAGAACCAGAGACATAGAAGCATCAAACAGAATGTCTAACATATGAGGCAAGGTGGGGAGTGAGGGGGTAAGAGATCAACCAAAGGACTTATATGTATACATATGAGCAAAACCAATGGACACAGACAGTGGTGGGGGGAGGGCTTGTGCTTGGGGAGAGGGTGGTGAGAGAGAGGTCAATGGGGGAAAAAGGGAGACTCATGTATTACTTTAAACAATAAAGAATTTAAATTTTTAAAAAAGTGGCTTATACCCTGAAACGTAGGTGTTATGCTTAAAATATTTTTGGAGAAAACATCAAAGCACCTGTAATAATTTATCCTAATAAGATAATTTAAAATCTACACCAATGTGTCTACAAAATAATGAATGCAATGTTGGTTATAAAAGTGGAAAATTGGAAATCAATAAAATATATGTTGGCAGTGGGCTAGTAAGCTAAATGATGGAAGATCTTTTTTTAATATATTTTTTATTGATTTCAGAGAGAAGGAAGAGGAAGAGAGAGATAGAAACATCAATGATGAGAGAGAATCATTGATCAGCTGCCTCCTGCACGCCCCCTTCTGGGGATTGAACCCACAACCCTGGCATGTGCCCTTGACCAAAATCGAACCTGTGACCCTGCAGTCAGCAGGCCGACACTCTATCCACTGAGCCAAACCGGCTAGAGCTGGAACATCTTTTTAATGCCGTGTCTATATATCCTAGAGATCTAGTCAAATGAAAAAGTAGTGAACACAGAATAACATCATTTATTTTACTTATACATATTTACTTACATCTATGCATTTAAAAATCAAGAAACAAGACTAGTTGTAATCTCTGTGGGGTAGGATTACAGAGGTACCTTTTTTACTTTACACTTTTGCATTATTTAAATTACTTCTAATAAGCATTTAATTTTCTTATACTTAACAGCAAAAATTAAGCTATTTCTACTTTGAGATAAAAAGTAGGGAATCTTAGGGGAGAATATTAATTTCTCTTTTGGTCAATATATATTACAGTCCAATCTTTTTTCTCTCCATCTTTAACTTTCCATACAATCTTATCAAACAGTACTAAATTGAGTGTCCTCTAAGAAAAGAAAATTTGAGTTTCTTGTTGATTGAAACAAGTCCCTGAAATATTTCAAATGTGTGTAACTATAGCACATGTAGAGTAATTTGCACTCAAAGTAAAAGACCATAATATATACTTCTAGAACAATATGGGGATAATCTCAAGCTAAACCAAAATCATTTATGCACTACAAATCTATTACTTGCTTATCAGTTTCTGATTAATTTACTCTTGAAATTTGCTTATGCCTTCCGTTAAAACATCACTAAACCCATCAGCCAGTTCATCTTCAAGAAAATGAACACTGACTCGGGTGTCATGTTGATTTCTCAGTGTGTCATTAC